ACGTATGCCTTCACCTGTTTATATCTTCGAACTTTCTACTCTGTAGTTCTATTGTTGTTAGTTTGTGTAGCTTGTAATAGTTCTCTCGCGTAAGCTTATTTAGTGTTTTATATGTATTTTTCAGTTGTATCAAGTGTTGATCTATTTTGTTACTTGTATTGAAGTGCTGTATTAGATCCTGTGTGCTGCACTATCACTAGAGTAAAGTTTGTTTTGTTTTCTCACGTCTCTTATCTCTTCGCCGTCTCTGCTTGCGTACGGAACGAACCAACCTGCTGTCATTCCCGTCGCCGACTTCGCGCTGGCGACGCTAGAGTGGCAGCTTGTAACAGCTTGAAACGATCAAAGCTCAGTCTAATGCTTCACACAGGCCTTCTCTAAACTACTTCAACCCGAGCTAGAGTAGTCTGGTGAACTGAGGGGAAAACATCAGGCACTCACCGCATCGATGTCGCTGACGCCGGCCGATCCCGCAGCTGTCAACCACTGTTGCGAAGCGCTCCTCCGAAGACGTTACGAAGAACGCCACGAAATCTCACCGCTGCAACCACTGTTACGAAAGACGGCGACGCCAACATGGTCACAAAGGCGTCACTGCTTCGAACTCAGCCGGGAAGGTCACCAGCCGGTTGGTAGCGTAGGTTTCTCAGCTCGCGACTGCTTCTGCGCAGAGGACGAGACGACGGTGAGTTAACAAGGTATATGTACAGCAAAGACATAAAGGCGTTACAAATTCGGCACTGGGGCCGGCAGCTTAGAGACCCGAAGAGCCGAGCTCTTCTCTCTAACGCATAGGTCAACTGCTCGCGACGCGCCGCAGGGCTTTTTTTATATCCACCGGGTGGATTCTTTGAGTAACCAAATGTCCAACCAGAATCGCCGCTGGTCGTGAGGTCAGAATCCTACAATGGGGTCTCCGCTGGGCCGCGTCATTCTCATCAAATCTGGAGGAGTTGCGCTGCACGTGGCTGCACCCAAGGACGATTGACGTAGCCACGCATTTCGTCAGACTCGCCAGACAAGAAGGCGCCGAATGCTTTGACAGGCTCGCTGGCTGAGGTGACTCACTCTGCGTGCCCGGCAGAAAGGCACCGTCGTGTGATGACGCCGTTGAGTTGTTCGCGTCAGGCGGGCTCGCTTGCTGGCCTTGACACAGATTGCCTTTTTCAGAAACATGGGCGTTCGCTGTGGACTCGAAGACATAACACTATGCAATGAATACTACCCACGTGTGATTAGCGTGTCATTTCGATTGTCAACTATGGCTACCTACTAAACTTCTTGCTTTGATTTTGTCTCATACGTTGTATAGCGGCACTGCCTCGCCTTTCTACACAATTTTTCGCTATACAAAACGCGCCAAACCACGTGCAGGTAGAAACAATGATTCTGCTTAGATTGAATTGTCCTGTGCGGGTGACCTTGGAGTAAGTCGAAAGCATCATCGAGCAACCATGACCGCTCACTACGCCACCTATAGACTACTGCCGAGTGACTTGTTGGGAGAGTTGGTTTATTCTTAACGAGCTTTCGTGTCATAAGCTCGTTAACTATAGACTGCTTTACTTAAGACTTGCGGACGGCCGCCGTTACGGGCTCTTCAGCCGAAGTTTTCTTTCTTCTTGCTTTTGCATATTTCAACGTGAATAAATAAGGCCATGAAACAACGTATACCCAACCATTTTTATGGGCATGCATCTACCGTAGCACAGTTACTTTAGTTGTTATAGTTCTGAGCCCAAAAGTAAACAGCCGAATATGGCAGCACTGAAACCCACCCGTGAAATAGTCTATAGAATGGCATATCAGAACCTGCAAGAACATGCCCAGCGCTCCACTTTGGCGAAAGCATCCATAGCATGCAGTCGTACTGCCTGTAATAAAACCGTTAGTTTTTCATTCGCTGTCTTCTTTTAAGGTTGCAACTTTTACGAACGCATCAGTGATCTTGTTATCGCGTGGACTACCCATTTTGACGACAGCCGCACGACAGTATGTACTTTGTACAGTTATAGATGTCCACGTGTATATTCGTACTGAGTTGAAATCGACAGGAGCCTTTTTTTATTATTCCGTACACCCAGTGGGCTTTACTAGGTGTGCAACATTCATTTTTTATAATAGCTGACGGTCTCGAAAAATAGGTGGTTTTCAAACAAATGAAGACACGCATACCAAGTGAACGAGAGAGCAATGGCAGTCCAGCTCACTCAACTCTGTCAACGACTTCGATTTATAACTTTTATTTTCGGGCTTACTTTGCGCCGCTTTTTATTTACCCGGTCACTCTGCCCTTGCCTTTTTTCCAAGCCGTGTTTATAGGGCTATATTGAGCCGACATATATATAAGATTGATGGTTCTCTCATCTATAGCCGTTAACGCTTCTCTACAAGCGGTGGTCGATGCCTCTTCTCGCTGTCATATTACTCGACCAACAAGTGCGGCGACCGCGCTCAGCTCGAATACGAGTCACTGTGCTGGTCTCTGTCTTAGCTCACGTCCCTTGGAACCTTCGGCATTCCGGACGCCACAGTCTTCGCGAAGCGCCGTGATGCATGAGGTAATGCCGAGACGAGTCTCCGCGCAAAAGCTTCGGTGTTAACGCGCGATGCAGACAGCCCCACGAAGAGGGCCGCTAGCCAAGATGGAGAGTGTCATCGCTCATCCTGGAAGAAATCGATTCGAAGCGTGGTCCACTGCTGCAGTGGTTCCCACGAAATAAAAAAGTATTCTGTCACAAAATTTTATGTCATTTTGTTTATAGCCAGGGATCACGACACCGCCGATGTTACACCTGTTTATTTATATATGGATTAACGTCCCTAGCGCACTCCCGTCTTCCTTCTCTTTCTCTCCTGTCTGGCATTTCGCTATATGCATAATTGAAAAATGTTCACTTAACAAACATCGATAAGATGAAAAATAATTGTGGCGGAGGAAACATCGCGTAGTCGAATATAATACGACTTCGTCATATTCTAAACTGCATCCAATGCAACTCGGTTATGTAGTTTCGATTAACAGGTGTTTATCAGCCAGATTTCATGGGTCAAGTAACTACACCGTGTGTTATTCCTCTATTAGAGCTAAACCCTCTTCGTAACCCTGAACGTTTCTTCTTCGTAAGTAAGTACCAGTTAGATGCAGCTGTTATATGTATACCTTCCTCTAGAGGGATAAGGGTAAATTTCGATTCGCGATTGGGGAACACCTACCAAATGCGATCCACCCCATTTTATTGCGATGGCACTTGTGTGTACAGTCTCGGCTGGTTTTTGCCGTTGCCAAAGCTGCCGTGATGCACCGTATATGTAGACGTATCTATATATAAGAAAACTCAAGAAAGAAAAAAGCCGCCTGTGCTCGGGATCCTGCTCGTCGATATGCGCCAACGCACGCTTATCTCCCACACGTACTTTGCCCCGCGCATGGGGGTGATAGGGGGGGGGGGGTCGATGCTTGTGTGCTAGCGCTTATCATTCGATAGAGAGAATCATATGCCTTGGCCTTTCACCGGAATGATTGCGTTAGTTGCGTGAGCCACAAAGGTCAAATTCGTTCGCTGGGCAGGCCCCGTTTGCGAAGTGAAAAAAGCACGCTTTTCAAACACTGTGAAGTAACAACTGCGGCACTCGTTGGTTCGCACTCATATCTGTACCTGTGATTACGTTTCGTGCATCGTTTTTATTTAAACAGCGCGTTAAGCGTTGAGTCGTAAACGTAGTTAGTCAGCTCTCGTCCTGTGTGTGTTGTTTTCGTGCGTTATTTATGCGTGAGCAGCGTGCTGCACGTTTTGATCTGCTAGCCGTTCTTAGCAATTATTTTAAGTTGCTATCGCATTCATTGATTCGCCGTTGTGGTGAAACTGTGACTTTTTTATTCTACCAGTTACTTGAATTCCCATGTTCATGTTCCGTGGTCACGACCTGTCTTGTATATACATTTTCTTTTACTACTTCCAATGCCTCGCTACCTACAGCAAATCTCTGTTCTCCTCCAAGAGTGTTGAGCGTAACTATACTTTTCTTCATATTATCAACTTCGAATTCAAGATGTCGTAGCTAGCCAAGAGAGAAAAATGATGTGCTTAACTTCAAGGGACGATATTTGGGCAGAGTTGGTCAGGTGACAAGCCAGTGTTAACGGTATCTCAGGCGAAATTAAGAATAATAGGTGGAGCAGTGTTCATAGCCCGAAGCTCGGATAACCGCTGGTCATCAAAGGCAACTGACTGAATTCCAAAAGGAGACGAACTCGCCAAGCGGGAGACGGAAGGTTAGGAGGGAAGATGAGATTAACAAGCTGGCGGAAATCACAGGGCTGAAGCGATCATAGGGCCGGGTCGATTGGTGAAGTATAGAGAGGCCTTTGCACTAATAGGCGTAGTGAGGAATATTAATATTATTATTATTAGTAGTAGTAGTAGTAGTAGTAGTAGTAGTAGTTTATTATTATTTTTATTGTCATCAGTGTGCGGAGACACTATTAGGTAGCAGATCACGGTACGCTTTCCTCAAAAGTCATACCTTGAAGTCACCATCTCCCAATCGTTCGACGAAAAACTGGATTCTGAGGTCGTTATCATGAGCGGCGGGCTTTCAAACGACAGTAATCAGGAAGACTTGTGGAAAAAGAAAAAACAAGACAACGTTCATACACATATATCGTAAAGATTACATAACCAGCATTATGGGTGAAACGAAGGTACTTCTCGCCTGTATCGTTTAGATGGGATGTCGCACCAGAATAAAGTTAAGCAAAGTGTGCCACATCAAGTGCTTGATTAAAATGTATAAAAACTGAGAAGAAATGTATTGAAGGCTATGGAAAATGCATTAGTTTACAACTAAATGCAGGTTCTTTCAAAAACCAGCGTCTTTTAATGTACATTTTTCTATACTGCAGCTGCTATGAATATTTCTCCTCTTTTGAGTTTTACATTGTGTTGTATAAAGAGGGAAAATTGAGCTAAACGCCTATTTACTTTCTATAAATGCAGATTTTGCTGGAGCTCTCTGACGCCGAACTGGAAGCTGGACTGGGCATCACTAACGTCATGCACAGGAGGAAGCTGCGGCTTGCCATCGAAGAGCACAGGGAACCCTCAATATGGTGAGTTGCAGAAGGCACATGCTTTACAGGCGCTAGGCTGTGTCACCTCTCTCCTCATTAGGAATACGTTGCCGTGGGGGACTAAACGCTCTTGAAGAGCGAAGCTCTTAAGCTCGAGGTAAAACGTCGTGTGTCCGCAGAAAACAATCCACTTCGTTACTTATCAATAACCAAGCCGCAGCTGCCCACCAACTGGGTTTAACCTCGCCTAGCCGCGAATGCACCTCTGCATGCGGGTTAAACCATCTATGTCTGAAGAAGAGAAGATCCGAGACATTATCACGGGTATCGAGGATTGTGCATTCCAAATGTTGCTGGTGAAAACCTGGACCTCTGTGGCAGACCTCGTAAGACTGTCCCAGAACTTTGATTAATTGTGCCGTGAGGGTTTCATCGCCCGGCAAAATGTCCCACCACCAGATTCAATCTCGACCGTCGCAGTGGCGAGCGGCAACGTTCGTCTGACCAGATCGAGGACTTCATCAGAAAGGAAGTGGCCCGACAGCTCTCCGTGCTGCATCATAGTGACTGGCCCACCACAAACCTGCATCAGACGCTGCAGCAGGCCATACGCACGGAAATTTGTGATACCCTCCCTGCAGTTCCGGCCACTTACCCGTGCACTTCCATGCCGCCTGACCTCTCGAAAGCCGGCTACGCACTACCTGCTCCAACTTCACCTCTCAGCTGCGCAGCTGTGGTCGTGCGGCCACTCACACACGAGGAAAACTGACGTGTGGTGTGCCTCCGACCAACGACCTCCCTGCTACCATTGTGGAGAAGCTGGCCACACCTACTACCACTGCAGTACCGCCAGATGGAACTTCGTGGTTTCACCATAGACACGCCGCGTGCGTCCACAGCCATGTGAGAGGCCACACGACATCGCTGACTACCTCGCAGTAGTGCAGTTGATGCCCTGAAGCTCTTCCCGTACGCTGTCACCTAGCCGCTGTACACTGGCCCAACCCGGACCGGTCGCCTTGCCCGTACTCGTAAAAGTAACGGCAGCAAGCGATAGAGGAGCGGTTGCTGTACGATGAACTGCCGAAGATCCTCCACCGTTGAAGACGATGCTGCGACGAAACCTCAAGACTCTGCCGTTGCCCGGGCGCAGCTGCAACGTCAAAACATCGCGGCCAGAACAAGACTTGAAGACGCAATGTGTAAGCAGCGGGAAAAGTGACGTAGCTGTGATCCGACGCCGCGATTAAACCGTAAGGTAAGACGACGAACAAGCCACGTCGATGTTCTAATCGACGCCCGGAAGTTACCGCTCTTGTCGACACTGGGGCTGACTATTCCGTCAGCAGTGGGCCATTCGCCACCAAGCTGGAAAAAGTAAAGACTGTCTGAAATGGACCCGAAATCCGCACAGCTGGAGGCAACCCGATAACGCCGGATGGAAGATATCCTGCGAGCTTTGTCATTCTACAACATTACTCCAGGAATGTCATACTTGGGACAGACTTCCTAAGTCAACGCGGCGCTATTATTGACTGAGTGAATAACGCTATGCACAGAAAAAGGAGTGCCACCGCACACACTGTAAAAAAAGCATGCCTTGAATGTGCCGAAAGACCAAATCACCACTCCTACCCGCTCCAGCATTTCCATTTCCGAGGGCACTCAAGATCAACACACCTGCAAAGGCGTTGTTGAAGGTGACCTGCAGCACCTGTTCATAAACCACGAAATTCACGTCGCCAGAGGAATAGCCAAGCTTTGTGACAGTAACGCAAGAGTGACGCTCATAAACTTTACAACAAGTACAAGCACGTGATCAAACGCATGACGGTTGCCAACATCGAGAATATACTGGAAGCTAGCAACGCTTTCGCCTTCACCAACTCTAGCGAATCTACTCTTACGATTCAAACCTTTCAACCAGCTTTCAACTTTAATCCGAGCCTTTCGACGCATAAACAAGGGCAGCTTTGAAACCTGCTCCTGAAATACAAGAACTGCTGTTCGTCATCGTCGAGAATTCAAGAGACCGCCGTCGCTAAAAAACGAATCGCAACAGAAGAAAATGCCAGGCCACTCCATCAGAGCCCGTATAGGGTTTCGATGCGAGAGCACGAGGCCATAAATAAACAAATCGACGAATAGCTATACGGCATCATCCAGCCTTCAAAAGAGTTCGTTGGCGTCACCGGTGGTGTTAAGAAGGATGGAACTCTAAGCTCCTGCGTCGACTATTGCCGCCTGAACAAAATCATGAAGAAGGGCGTGTACATGCTCGCACGGATATACAATATCCTAGGTCGACTCCAGAATGCGAGGTACTTTTCTTCGATGGACCTCAAGACCAGCTATTGGCAAATTGAAGTTGACGAGAGAGAGAGAAAGATGATTGTTTTCACAACACCGGGCGGCCTGTTCGAGTTCATGGTCACACCTTAGAAGAACCGAGCGTTGACCTAGTTGGTAATTCATTGTGGAAGGCATTTGGCACAAACAAAAAAAAACGAACAACAAGAAAGAGAGCGCAGACCGGCGCTTTCTTTCTGCGCCTGTCTGTGTTTCCTTCCTTCTTGTCTTTTTTTTACGAAAAGGCCATCCACTAGGGCGTGCCCATTAGTCTTTTCTCGGCGCCTTAGACTTTCATATGAGTCATGAATACAATTATGGCTGGCTTGAAGTAACAGACTAGCCTCATTTACTTGGATGACGTCGTTGCGCTTTCCTCAAAATTCGACGAACACCTCCAGCGCCTTGAATCCACACTTAAAACAGCTACGAGCTACTGTTTTAGGTCATGTGATCAGCCAGACTGTAGTACGCCCGGACCCACACCCAGAAAACGTATCACTTATGTAGCGACCTGTAGTCTAGATGTGGTTACATACTGTTACTATGGCTACGGAGGAGGGAACGACCCACGGCCTATAAGGAACTCCGCCGCTAGTACCGGCCGAGACTGACAGCGACGGAAGACACCACCAACTAGGTCAGCTGGACTTCTGAAGCCCATCGAGCCACCTCGCTGGCCGTTGCAGGAAATCTGCATGGGCGGACTGGAGCCGTTTTCGACGTCGCCTTTCGAAAACCAATTAATTGTCGTAGCTATTGACTAACGCACCCGCTACGCCGAGACAAGTGCGCTGCCCAAAGGCACTAGCTGCCGCCGAGGTATAAGAGTTCTTCCGCAGTCGGCAAGTTTTCCGACTGCTGTTGTTCTATGAATTCTCGCCGACATAAAAATATTCTCAAGCGCACCGCAGCAAGAATATCCCTGCCCGATACACTTCAGCCGCGTGTGTCATCGCTGCCGCATAAAATCAGGAAAAGCATAGAAGCCATCCTTTCGTCCGCTGATGCTTTAATGAACCGTGCTCATTCACAAAGAAACACATGGTCGCTGACCGAGTGACACCTTTGGTTCACGCGAGTATAACAAAATTGTTTGGATGCGTCTTAGATTTGTACAGTTATATCCACATTGGCAACTGTGAAAAACTCTTCGCTTATGGCAGTTCTCTCCACAACGTTAACGTGCATGCTTTGGGACAAACATGCTCGACATGCTTCAACACAAAGCTTACTCCAATAAATGCTGTGCCGTACATTGTATATGACAAACGCATGAGAGTTCTGATTATTTTTGCTGGTTGAGCCGCTCCAAAACATAACCAATGGAGTGGCGTCGAAGGCAAGTTCTCCCGTTTTACAGCCACGGCTAACGTTGTTGCAACAATTTTCATAAGAAAATTGAAAAAAGAAGAACGTAGCTAATCTTTCTTGTGTTTTCCCTCGCAAATAACAATAGCTGCTCATCGGTACAACCAAGAAGGTTCGACTTCCTTGGGTACACCGTATTTTCTTTGCACGATAAAAAAAAAGCGAGCACGCCAGCGAGAACACAACAGCAACTGCGATAGCTGCAGCGGTTTTCGCCTACTATGCGCATACCGCCCGAAGCCAAACGCCCGACGGCAGCGCCACCGCATTTTCGTGACGCAAGCCTGGTGGAATTCGTCTATAGAGTCCTGGTTTGAAGAGCCATACCTTCAAACGAATAAATAAAACCTGAAATCTGTGTGTCTGTGTGAATTGTGAAGAAAATATTTTAAAAGTCGCAGTTTCGCTAAAAGGGCGAAGCAATGAATGCGATAGCAACATATTCGATTGTCTTACGAAGCAAGGCTAGGATTTTTAGGAGCAATAATATTTGTAGTAAACATGCGCTTGCTAAGTAACCATGTTTCCTGCGGCGCGGCCACATGTAGATGACCACAACAAGGCTCGTGCGTAATGACGGCGTTGAGATACGAATTGAGACTGGCAGTCAACTCATTTAGATCCGATTTCACGTAGCTCTACAATGTGCTTGTGTAAGAGAACAAGGCCTCCCCAGCTATAAATTTCGGCACTGTTTCTTTTTGTTGAGAGCGCAGCCCGTAGAAGTTCCCGCCTGCTGTGGGGGCACCAGCCGCGCGCTGATTGTTGCCGTAATAGCGCGGTAACCATAAGTGCCCCCCCCCCCTTGTTCGCTGGCGAAATAAGCCCGCGCGCAGACGAGCCCAGCGGGAAAAGACAATGGGCGATGTTCGGTCTGCAGAAAGAGGAGGCTAGTGCACCATTCTCTCTCTCTCTCTCTCTCTCTTTATATATATATATATATATATATATATATATATATATATATATATATATATATATATATGGGGGGCGGGGGAGAGAAGTGTGCTCGTTTTTCTGTATGTGACTCAATATTATTGAGATCTAATAGACAATACTGCAAAGGATAGTATAGAGAAAGTTATTAGACCAAATTTTGATGTAAATCCGGAGGGCGACCGGGACGGTGACCCATTGCTTTAAGATGTCGAAGGCGCGCTTGCTCTGGGCCCGGGCACGACAAGAGCAAGTGTGTCACATCCATGGTAGTTATGGGAGCGTCATAAAAGAGGTAGGTGGTTCCATACGCTGCGCGGTACGGTTGCGGCCAGTGAGTGGTCACTGCCGGCGTCAGAGCAACCCCAATACGAAGTCTC